CTTATTTAGTGTGAAAATCTCTTTTTGGAGAAACTAAGCAGATAACTGATACGCTGAGACCCAAATAACCTAAGAAGTAGAATCCATTTCATGCTCAGTTACATAAGAATACAGTCCAGGATTTGTTTTTCCCTGGGGAAATGACGTTGTGACTTTCCAAACTAGCACTGAAGTAACCCTCTACCTCCGACCATGCCGCTTTGTCAAATATTAGTCTGTGAACATCCTGCATCTGATGTGTCTTAACCAAATGGTGTTGGTGCGACACGGTTAATTTTCGACGAAGCTTAGGTACAACCATGTGGTGATGAGACCCAATGCAGGTACCACGCCTAACGCGAGTCTCAAATAACGAGCAACGCCATTTGCAGTTGATGAGTTGACTTGGTCCTAGTTTGTTGTATTCGCTTATGAGGAAAAATGGTCTGACCGATTACTGGCCTCTTTTTCGCGATAATGCTTAACAGACGTGACGGCGGAATACACCTGGCCTGTACTCGACGCCTGCCTTCACGTTAAAGTAACCTATGAGAACTGTACTTCATGGCGAGACAGCGTCAAAAATTGACTGCAAGCAGATATAGAATACGTTTTTGTTGCTGTCACTCGACATTTGTCAGAGCATAAGTGTAAATGGCATTCAGCCTTAGGGGACAAGAGGATACCCACACCGGTACGGCATAATCTACTGTGGCATGATCACCACAATTACCACAGATCCTGCAGGTGAAACAGCCCTTATCCCAGAAAGCGAGAATTCGTGATCGCCAGTCCATCGAGTCTGTACAGACGAGCCGTAAGGCAGTCATAGTCTAACTTACTCTGGCCACATAAGGTATGAACTTTGCAACATACAATAGGGAACATGTAGTGTTGACTGCTGGAATCATCGATTACTTAGTTCCTAATTGACTGATAACCGTTCGCTGCGCGACTCATTTGCGTGAGAACAATTCATTCGCAACCGCTTGCTAAGGAATCAACCTGAGAACTGCACTTGCTGTATGCATGATGTCGTGTTATGTGCATAGTAACACTATAACGCCATGCATGCAGTATTTGATGAATATAATGTATATTTTACCGGTGTTGCTAATTACTGTGTATGGGATGACGTTCTTAAGACATGCAGTAAGATCGAGGCAGAATTGTCTGATAAAAATGTTGTGAAGCATATCGTTACCGAACGAACACATGGCAAAATATACAGACCTGGATGGAACTACGGAATTGGCTAATGATTGCCCAATGGCATTAAGCCAGTAGCCATTATCGGCTGATTTTTCACACGCTCTGAATGCTCGCAAATAGTCGTGTTTTGACCGGGCCAATCATTCAGTAGGAACCAGTACGCGGCGGCATCTGTTGTCACAGTAGATCTTCATAATCGGTTTCACCATTCCTCCAGTCAGGCGCTTCTCGCTCGCTGTATTTGACTTATGTATAAAAGTCTTGTGCAGCTTTACATTACTTTTGTCTTAAAACAGGTAAATTAATGCCGCCTAAAAATCTCTTGCAACACTTGTAAGGATTTCTATTATAATCTGTCTTTAACTGCGTTAAAGTCTAGAACCGTTTTTCCTGTGAAATTTTTCTAATTTCAAGTTAATTAAACAGTCACGTAGATTTCCAAAATTATTGTTCTATAACGGTACTGAAGACTTATATATGTTAGGCAGTACGAGGAACGAGAGGTGCGATTCGAGCAAGAGAAGAGGAAAAAACTACTTGAATTCGACGACCATATCGGAAAGCTAAAGAATGAACTAGACTACCAAAAGTCAGAGGACAATCGAGGTTTGAATCTGGCTTGTTGCTGTTCCGCATATATTTTATATATTATTCTGTTCTGATACAAGCGTTAACGTGTTTTTCAGCCCAAATACGAACGATAGAAGAAAACAAGGCAAAAGTCGAGCAGGAGCTTGAAGCATTACGAAATGAAGAGCAGCGACTATTGAAGGTACTCATTTATGTTAGTAGCTGCTTACCGATTATATATGTTTCCATAATATGGTATTTCATGTATGCGTTGGTAATCATATTGAAAAAATGGCAAAAAATGGTTTAATTATGTACAATGCAATTAGGTCGCAGGTCGTAGAACAGCTTCGTCTAAATTAACTCTCTCTCATCGACGTCGTCTGGTTGAAGCACATCGGCAGCTAGATGCTTACAGTTTAATATATGACGAAGTGGCGTGGTTAGTACAGAGTTATTTCAGTGCCACCCTCACTGCCCAGCCAAGAAGTGGCAACCTCGTTTAAATTTACCAACAATCAGAGAATGGGTCATTTTTTCAGGGTAAAAATATAGTTTGGGTAAGAAGGAAGATAGCCAAAGCGCCGTCGGATACGGAGAAGACCTTAGCCCTGACAATGCAAAGAGATGAGGCTTGGGGATAGTTGCAGCACCCTAATACACCCTCGACAGCAGTTCATCGCCATTTTGTTCTTGATGTCAACCAGTTCTACAGACGGAACATGAAGCTTCAGCTGGAGAGGAAAATCAGAAGATCGGGAAAGCAGCCAGCAAGGGTGACTGGGGAACAGAGTTCAAAAGGATGCGACCGTTCTCTGCTAAGCAGGGTATGCCACTGGCATGTCATAAAAGCTTCTCAGGACATGTGCTGAGCAATTCTACCACAGCTGCCTTAAAGATTGGTCCTCGTTTCCGACCGCCAGTCCTCTGCCTACACTGGAGTTCGGCAGAGAGGCTTTTGCTATTCAACTATTCACGACTATTTTCTTTGAAACTATGCTGACCTTGACAAATATGGTCCCATTTTACTAGGAAAGCGCACTTGAAGATATCCGCCTAGATATCTGTGCTAACGCGGAGTACGCAGATGATACTGTCCTTGCGATTGATACAGGAAGCGGCTTTTGTCACCTGACGGATTCCGTGTACAATACAGTCGCAACAACCAGTCTGTTCCTTAACGTCCGGAGATCAGAAGTGATTAGGAATCCATTCAGCAAATTTTATGTGCAAGTGGAACACAAAGGTGACACCATTCAGTAGGTTGACAGTTTAAGTACATCGGCTCTATGATCTCCAGTGATGGCACTATCCAGCCAGAGTTAAACAGGAGGATCGCCCTAGTCTTATGCTTTCAGATTCAGACACCTCTCTAATATTTGGGCTGAGAAAGGATGTCTGTATTCACAGAAATCCGCCTGTACGTTGCCCCTGTCAGGTCCGTGTTGTTCTACAGCATGGAGACAGCTGTCCTAACGAAGGAGCAAGAATAAGTGCAACTGCGTACAACGGCGTTGATTTCGATGGATAATAACGTTTAAATGGCAGGACGGTGAAACGAAGGACTTCATTCTTTTTCCGGCACAGGTCGCCTCAAAAGATGTAGTGACTAAGAAAGTGAGGTTGGTTAGGCAAACTGGTTGAGCATACGCCATTTACTCCTGTTTTGCAGCTTCTCGCCTGGGACCTTACCTCAGCAGACGTCGACTAGTACGTCAGCATGTAACATTGAGATACAACATACGGTATAGTCAAAGAGGCATATGCTTCCTGTGATGCAGTGAACGGTCGCTTATAGCAAAGGTGTTGAAAACGTGCGGATCAGCGAATGCCACAAGCCAGAGATATTCTCTGATGCGACGAGCTCAAGGCGATGATCTCGACAATCCATATAAAAACAATGTGTTAGTACCTGTATTGCATTAACGTTTCGGTTCGTGCCTCACGGAACTTCTTCAGAACAATTTCGAGTTCATTTTTCGGTTGCTGTTAAGGTAGTCTGCAGTAGATGACTCATTTGAAACCAAGAGATGAGCTCTGAGTCTCTGCTGCTGATTAAGGAACTTTTTGGCGACAGGGTGGACAAGGCTGTTGTAATTCGCAGTGACTCCGTCCACTGACAGGAATTATATTTTTGCATTCTGGGTTTATTGCGTGATTACGAATTGATCATACTGGAATATTTATGCTACTGATTAAGTCTGCTTCGTTTAGAAAATTGAAGAATCTGAGAAGAAGATAGAACTGACTAAACAACAGCGAGTCGCGAGAAAGGCTGAATTGGAGGAAAAGGAAAACGAGACCAATGAGGTGAAGAAGCAGCTAGCGCAAGTACAAAAGGAGCAGACATCGATCCAGAAGCAGATATCAGCGATGGAGGCAAAGATTGAGCATGAACGCTCTGAACGGCACCTGCTCTTGCAGACATGCAAGATGGAGGACATCAAACTGCCCTTAGATGAGCAGGGATCGTCGTCAAGTAGTCTGCACAACCAAAGACGAAGCCAGAGTTCTCTGCCATCAGGTAGTGCTTCGCAGGATTCGAGCATGCCGGAAAGTACGCAAGAGCAGTACCAGCGCGAGAACATGATCAGCGTCGACTATTCACTGCTGACCTCAGAGCTTACGGCCGTACGACCAGCTATCGG